CGCAAAACACCGGTCTGCAATTAAGTCTCTGCTCTGCGGCTCCCTCCCCACCTCCCACCAGCTAATACGTGGACGCTTCTGAGAGAGTCCTTGTTACAAACAAACCTGTGCACTAAATCTGTAAAATTCTCTCTCATTAGAAAAAAATGTAAATATCTTTTAAAATGGTAGCTGATAGACTAAAACAGCAAAACAGTAAACCTAATTAAATAATCCAGGAAATATTTTTAAAGAGAAAATACGCTAAAACGATATTTCTACTATGCTTTTTCCAAAAAATGCTGCAAAACTACTGAAATTATTATCATGCTTTGTCCATGTACAAAATGTTGGTTTAGTATTGCAGTTCTGCTTACCTTCAGGAAAAATAATTTCACTTGTACTAGCTTATTTTGCTTGAATACAGTATTTTTGTAAGCTAAAATATTTAAGTGTATTAAAGAGGTGAAAGTTAATACCTCCTACTGGATAAGAACACAATACCATATTAAAACATCCCTCTACAACTAATCTTAACGTCTGCTTGGATACTTAATGCTGCTTGCTGTGTAATGCCGGTTCTTGCCTATAGGGATACATTTGCTAATGAGGAACTACTGAGGCAATATATTAATGAGCACTGTGAAGGTCTTACCTGATGCTGTGAGCAGTCTAAAAGTGGGATCATCATAAGATGCACAGACGGAACTCTTGCATAGTGCCAGTGAAAGAGACCCAAAGAGTAAATTGTCAGAACCTAAATTCACACTTGTCCAGCATTGTGTAGTGTAGTTTTCCTACCAAGTGATCACGATTCTTCCTCATTTAGCTGACATGGTAGCATGGCTTGTCTTCATCTTTGGAGTGGCAAGAAACAGCATGAAACAGAACCAGTTTTGTGATGTGGGAAGAGTAAAGAGTATCTAGTTGTTGGGGTTTCTTTTTCAGAAAATTAAACTAAACAAAGATGAAACAAGTTCATCAAGAGGCAGCAGTTGTTAGCTAGTAAAATGTACAGTCTTACAGTTGGTTGTCAAGGTTTCACAGCAAAGCTTTTCCATTTGAGATTTCCAGAATGTTGGCAGAGCTGTCAGTGCACCCTAAAGCTCCAAAACAAACTGCCTTTTCTTTTAGAAAGAACATACTGGCCGCCTTGTTATCGGAGACCACAGATCAACCTCTCACTTCAGGACAGGTCAGTTTATCCAACAGCTGATACAAAGTTGGAAATCGAACACTTGTTTAGGAACATCCCAGTACTTTGAGCTTTGTAGATGTTGCAGGGAGGGATTTCAGGTTTCGTAGCTGAAGTTGAAGACGGGTCAGGCTGTGGAGTTTCAGAAGTTCCTAATTTCTCTTGTTAGATTACTGACAAATGGTTTCTCTGACTGCGCTTACTTGCCTTCTAAAGTCCAGGTTCAGCAAAGGACTTGATGGTCAGTTAAACTTGTGTACAAATGCCCTGGAAATCAGGGCCTATAGGTCCTCAGTCTTATTTTGCTATCAAAATAAGTAAGTAAAATTTTATTGCTATTGGTACCTAGCATTGTTATACTACTTCCTTGCTGTCAGGTATGGGTATCCAAACGTCTAAGTCATTGTGCATGGAAAAGAACAGGGTTGATTTCCCCCCTCACCTGATTACCTGTTGAATAGGAAGATCTCTGCCTTAAAGCAATGAGGTGGAAGCCCAACAGATCTGCAAGGTCATCTTGGCAATCCGCAATAATTTGATGTCATGTAATGTATGACCATGGTAACTTCTTATCAGGCTTGCTCAGGTAGTAAGTCAAAGTACATTGAAACCAAGCTGGGCTTGATTGTCTCTGTCGGAGCTCCAGAACACTTTTCCTTGATATGATCCACTAGTAATTTTTGAATTGACGATAAATGATCTGTGGACCAAAACAGCAAAAGAAGCCTGAGGATTGGTTCCAGGTCCTGCTGTTAGCTTGCAGAGTGCCTGAGAATCACTTCCTCCTTTCTAGGAAATTCAGATAGATGTTGTTTCCCCTAAGGAGTCATAAAGAATGAGTACTGCTTTGCTATTAGCAAAAAGTTAAGATGCTGTGATGGTTGCTGTTTTTGGGTTTTGTTTTTGTTTTTTGGGTTTTTTTTTTTTCACAAATAATCAGAACAGCGGTTTTCTTAACATTTTACTTGTCCAACATACAGTTATTGTCCTTTTACAATAACATAGAGCTCTAACTTCCAAATGAGGAAACATTAACTTGCAATACAGGCTTTTAATTTTACAGAGATACAAATTAAAAACTAGAGTGTTGTAGGCCTGTTGGTGGAGAATTGAAGAGTCCTACCTATCACAAGAACAGAGGATTCTTAACTATTTTAGACCGTATTTTCCCCTCAGTAAAAATTATTATTTACTTATTCAAGCAAGTAAGTAAAGGGCATGTAGAAGTAGCTCATGAAAATTACTTTTTCTGCTCATTTCTAAAGATAGAAAAATGTAGAGCTGTAGTAACTGCTTCTGATAAGTCAGGATGCATGAAATAGTTTCAGATACAGCTGTATAAACAAGAGTGGTAGTATTGTCCCGACTTCTGCTGCTGTATGTTAATCATGGTTTAATCATAGTACTCAAATGTTAGTAGTGAAGGTCAGAAACTTTCTCCTTGCTGTGACATGCTGCAGTGTTGGCAGGAAGCACAGAGACATCATACTGGTTACTTTTACCTTGTTTAGTAGAACATACGCTGCGCATAGTACAACTGTCTGAATGTGTCAGGTCTTAGGAACTCACCAGCCCATGTTTGTAGTAAAGCAATTTTGCTTGCACAGTTGGTATGATTGCTCATAAATCAGGTGGTTGGCAGGCAATAATACTCAGTCTAGTGGTTTAAGATGGCTAAATTTAAACTTTTTTCACATATATAGTGATAAACTTTGAAAATGTGACTTCATGTAATTTGATGTCTTTGTTAATTTGAATGAACCATAACCAAAGTACACTGGACAATGCAGGGGAAGAAGACAAGAAAATGAACGAAGAACTGGAATCTCAGTACCAACAGAGCATGGACAGCACGATGTCTGGACGAAACCGGCGCCATTGTGGACTTGGTTTCAGTGAGGTAGTAAGTTGTTTATTTCTACAATGATTTGGCTTTCACTTCACTAAGACAAGATGATGCACAGTGTAAAAATCCAATCACCGCAACTAGTGGCAAACTTCTGCAGTTTGGGTTAAAGGCACTTACTGCAGGCACTTGAAGCCTATTTGTGTACGCTGTGGTGGCCATTTAGGTGCCTGGAAATGATTGATGCTTCTCGTTGTTCTGGAAAGTGATATGACATGCTTAATGCTCCATAGTGGTCAAGACTGATTAGGACAGAAAGTGACCAATATATTAAATGAGGGTGTTGCCAAGGAATATGTAAGGCGGCAGGATAACCATCTGCATTGTTGCCGAGAGGTAATTAATCTTCGCTTCTTGTTGGGGAGAAGCACGTACCTCTCTGTGGTCCTGAAAAGGCAGTGGCTATAAAGGGGTCAGACAAGGGAAGCTGGCTGCACGGAGTCCTCCAGTGAGCTGACGCCTGCCTGCTCTTGGACTTGCAAGGAATTCCATAGGAGCGAGCAGCAAGAGAAGTGTGGCAAAAACCAACATAGCTGATGTTTCCAGAGAAGGCAAAACCACCTGTGCAGTGCTGGGAATTCTTAATAAACAGCCCTGGAGGCTTTGCTCTCTAGGGCCATGAACAAAATTCCATTTTGGGTTTGTTAGCGGTATCATTGGATTACTTCAGCATTCCTCACGCTGTGGTGTGCTAAAGTCATTTTCAAAGATTAGTCATGAATATGAATTCTTGATGGTCTAGTTGTTGGGTTCCCATGTTTCAACCCATGACAGATATTCAAATGTCATGATGTACTGTGTACACCAAAGTAAGGAATTACTAAACTCATGTGATCTGAAACTTTTCAAACTCATTTAATGGTGTCTGTAGGATTTCTGCTGTAACTAAGAATGTGGCTGATGAAACCACGGATGTCATGGTTGATACAGTTAACTGCTTCAGTGGAGTTGCTTTCTGTCTAGTGATTTGTATATTAAAGACCTGTGTTTAGCAACATAGTACATTTTAGTACTAAAATGAAAGGAGCTATTAAGTGAAACATTCGCAGTGGGAAACTTTAAAAGCTGCAATGGAGTTGGCAGGAAATAATGGTTTATCTGTCTCATCATCTGAACTTCTAGTTTCAGGAAGGTGAAGAACAAGAAGAGGCGGCTGGACACTCCTCTGAAGAGAGTTCAGAGTACTCCGAAAGTGGCTCTGAGTCAGAGCAAGAGGAGTCTGCCGAGGAGCTACAAGCTGCTGAAAAACATGATGAAGCTGAGGTTCCAGAAAACAAAAAAGAAGCAAAGAGCAACTATAAAATGATGTTTGTTAAAGCCAGTGGTTCATAACTGCAGATGTAACAGCTTTGTATTTCAAGTACAGTAAGCCTTATTGTTACCATGCAAAGTGGAGGACTGCTACAGCACAAATCTTTGTATTATGATTTTAAAAAGACCCCATTAGATGACAAAAAGTAGTATTTGATTTCAGTTGCCATGGATAACATTTTTATGGGCACAGTGATGTGACTGGTTTTTGTAAAGTGTATAAAATACTGGATGGAGAAATAAATTCTTTTTGTTCTGGCCCAATCTCTACAATCTTACCTAAACTATCCCTCCCCTTATTCCACGCCAGATAAAGAAAATTCATGGTAGTCATTTCTTTTGTTAGTACCCCAGTTTTGAATTTTTAACTATTAAGATTACATGTGAATTACTGGATGTTGCATTAGTTCGTAAAATACCAGTATCAGCACTATTCTGTCGTGTACTAGAGCTTTAAACAATGATTCTGTCTATAGATGCTAGTGTTGACAGGGCTAAGAGGAGAAATCAATCACTTTTGTGACAGCATTAATCACTGTATCCATCTGAAGTCCTACAGCAGTCGCATTGGAGAAGATGTTTTAGAAATGCATAATACAACAGAAAGCTCTGATTGCTTCTTTGGCTTTATAATGAGGGGTATAAGCTGTAGTTCCTTATACCTTTCAGTAGAAAAGAGTGATTTTTTTGAATTGCTGGCTCCTGGTTATAGCACTGAGCTGTTATTAAAAACAATTCCTCCCAAAGAAACCAGTTTACTTTGAAAAGAGAAAATATACTTTGATAACAAAAAGGATATACAAATCATTTAGCTTTTTAAAATATAGAATACAGAGTTAATTACGCAAGCCCTTCTTCCTTTTCTCCCCGTACATGCATCACTTGGAGGTCCAAGTCAATTATCACAAAAAGGTTGTACCTCTCAAGTAAAGCTGATACACTTAGAGTTAGGAGTTCCAGTAGCTCCTTCCTGCAAGAATTAAGCACACCCATTCCTCTGCATATTTATAGTTTATAGCATTCAATAATAATGTATCAGAACTTTTTAGACTTTGTTTCCTCGTAGTACATCAGACAACTGCCTCTCCTTGCTGGGAGAACAGAACACCTGATCTGTTCCTCTAGTACAGCCACATTCTGCCACAACAGTGTTTCAAGAAACACTCCAGACGCTTGTGGATAATCTTCCATTGCTGTATACAATTTATGACACGCAGATATTTGCAAGCCAGTTGGCTTATGTGAAAGCAGCAGTAAGTACTATCATTGTACAGGTTTATTGAACGTAAACATTGCAGCATCAGTTATTGGGGGAGGACTTGGAATAAGTTACATTACAGAAAAAATAAAATAATATTGTAAATAAAAACTAAGTGTAGATTTTGATTAATTTGTTTTACTATACTTGCATTTAATATAAAATTTTTCAGTCATTCAGTTTTAAGAACAGCATTACAGCAGCCACTAATGGGCAGTGAGTTGTACTTGATTTGTATGGATTTTTTTATTTTCCCCACAACTGCAAGCTTCCAATACATAGACAAAAAAATAAAGTTGCTTGTACATCGTAAAGAAAGAAAACCTTACCGTGACTTAGGAAAGCTGCCCTATCTCTGGGAAGAGCTAGAGGCCCTTCCCAAAAGATTGACTGATTAACCTTCCTAATAAACTGATACCAGTTTTTTTTCTATTTAGACACTCAAGCTACACTCAATCCAGCATTTCGCTGTTAAATCCTTTTAGCTGTGGCTGCTCATTGCCTTGGGTGCAATTACAAAATGAAGGCGTAGGCTGCAAAACGCTGCCTGTACAGCGACTTCGCTGCTTCCCTGCCCTGGCACTGAAGCTAGCGCTGCTCAGCATCCACGCAGCTCGCTGGACTTGCCCATCAGCACACATCGACACACAGACTCGCTTTCAGCGGTGGCCGAAGCCATTGCTGTAGACCCACGCTGCAAGGCAGAGAGCCCTGCTGCTTTTCTACTAGCCTCAAAAGAAGGGCACAGTAAAACCTCACGTGAGGGCTTTACTCCGCAGTGCAACCAACCTGGGAAGACCCGGGAAAAGCAGATCCAGCTGGCAGGGCCTGTGTGGGTCTCTGCTGACAGAACAGGCTGCCACTATGGACACCATCAGGGGCCTCTGCCACTCAGCTCTGCCCCGAATTGATGACAGCCTCCTGCCTGGTAAAACAGATTTGGTCATCGGTTCTAAATATAAATAAATAGACCACACAAGGATAAAAAAAAATAAATTATTCTAGTAACAGCTCTGACCAGAAAAAAAAAAAATAATCAACACAAGTTTCATTCCCCAAAAGTACAGCATGTAATGTTGTGAACATAGAATCATGGAATGGTTTGGTTGGAAGGGACCTTACAGACCACCTAGTTCCAACCCCCCTGCCATGGGCAGGGACACCTTCCACCAGACCAGGTTGCTCAAAGCCCCATTCAACCTGGCCTTGAACACTTCCAGGGATGGGGCAGCCACCGCTTCTCTGGGCAACCTGTGCCAGGGCCTCACCACCCGCAAGGCGAAGAATTTCTTCTGAAAACATCTGGTGAGGTTTGGTGTTAACTCCTTTACGATGCTGACCTAAGACTAATTGCTCAAAATAGGAAGAGTTCTACACAATCATGTCTATTTCCATCTAACATTTATAAACATATTATTAAGAACCTGCAGATTCATCTATGAAGCAGCCTCTGTGTATATTGAGAAAGGCTGATTTAGTTCAGTGTAGATCCTGCAGTGAATGTTTTAATTCAGGAGTCAGTTTTAGCAACATTTGCTATCATAGCATCAGCAGTAGCAGCATGGATAGTAGCAGAACGGTTTCAGCTCTCATGCTTATCAGAGACAGAGAACACAGGAAAAATCAAGGTTGGTGTCTTGGCTGATTCTAGGCAGTTCTTTGCTTTTTCAGGCTGCTATGGAAGGGGCTCCCAGAGATGACAGCAGACACTGAATCACAAAGAGGGCAACTGCATTTGTCTTTTCAAACAAGAAATGCCACTGAAATGCCTCAACTCAAAGACCAGCTTATTTCCATCTCAACAGAGAGGCAGAAGTCTGCCCATACTCCTACATATCTTAGGGAACAACTGATGAAAGTTAGATCTGTCACAGAACCACCATCATGTCTGGTAAAAGTTTTCATCTGTTTCTAAACCACACCAAAAATTTACCTACGCAATGGTCAATGCAGGTGCGTTATCAGCGTTTGGCTTTGGAAGACTGAAAACCCTTGAAGAGGTCGAAAGCACCGATGTCCCTGTTCCCCTTCCATTTGCCCTGGAACAGGGAGCCCCTCAAGACGGGTACCGTCACAGCCCCACTGCCCACAAGGTCCTGCAGTCACAAAAGAGGATGCTTCTAAGCCAGATAAAAAGGAATCCGTTTCCCTCTCAACATCGTACAGAAATTCTTCGAGGCCAAGAAAACCAGATCTGTAAGTTGCCCTGTCGCTTCACGCAACTGCTTTACAGCTTGCTCTCCCTTTCTTCCTGAAGAGGAGGCTGACAACTTGATTCCTGAAAGCACAATTTTAGGCCAGCTTCAAAGCTGTAGGTCCTTCTAAGGCTCTGGTTGGGGAATTCACATCAAAGAAGATGCGCACATGTTGTGCTGATGCCAGAGAGGACGGTTGGTAGAAATCTCTGTGGAGTTACTACAGTCCCCAGAACAGGGATTAAATTATGCACTGAAGCTGCCTCTGTAAACTGCAGGAGACAAAGAGAATAAGTGGCAGTGCAATCTCTCATAATCAAAGCCTGGCACAGTTATTTGCATCAGTCTCTTGGAAGCTGTCAGGGGATTAAGAGAAGGCACACGTGTCAAGGTACTCTCACTGAAGGGACAAAGCAGAAGTTGGTTTTGTTTGCTTTTAAGACTGCCACCTCAACTGCACTTTTCCTGAGAAAAATATCTGAGTAGTACAGAGGGGTACAGCATCACGATGGGTAGATAAAAGTTTCCTTAGTTTTTGCACAGCATTAAAGCAGCAAAATACTTAGTGATTTAATCTTACTTGATTCGGTTTTGATGTGCAGGTGCAGAATGAGATCACACTGATAGTTTGTGCTATTATCTACCCAAATCCAGTACCATTTATCGTGTCCATATCTCAGGAGATCTAGTCCAGAAATAAAAAGAAGAATGAAAAGTAACATAGGTCAGAAGAGGGGTTATGTATCATCAGTCAAGCAGTATGGGGGCTCGTATAAAAAAAAACTTTCTTGCTTTGAACTTTTTCACAACTGCCCACCCTGACGTGCAGGGAAGTTCTCTCAAACCGTTATCATAAGTAAGTGTTCTCATCACAAGGATATCAAGCCACAGTAAAGATTGCAGAAAGGTTTGACAATCTGAACTGGCTCCTTTTCACCCTCATATTTATTGCTAAAGCTTTAAAACAAATGCAGGTGAAGCTTTTGATCCTTAACTGGTTGGGGCCAAGTCTCCTTCTTCCTGTTACAGCCACTAAAGTCTAGTAATTTTGATCGGTTTGTAAGGATGCAGCAACAGAACATCTCCTTCCAAAACATTTTTTTTTTTTTTTGGGGGGTCAAAAAGACTTCTTAACATAAGAAATTGATACTGGACACACACACACAAAAAAAGAGAGATCAAATTTACTCAGTAGTCAACTGATAGAGCCACTACCCAGATCCTGAATAAAATCTGCATTTCAAATCATTTCCCCACTCACTTTTAAACTGGATTTCGTGAGGACAACTGAGGAGTCCTCAGGCATGCAGAAGGCTTTGAGGAATCCAGGGGAGCCAGCAGCAGTCTGGAGACGTTGGGCGCTCTGAGCAACCTGAGCCTCTCATCCAGGTTTCAACTTGGGAAGTGAGCAGGGCAGCCGGGTCTGGTACTCACCTCAGCAGTGGTCCCTCAGCTTTTGCTGATTCTGTGTCTTAGCCCCAAATGAAAGGAGTATGTACGCCTTCACACCCCCCAACACAAACACACAAACACACTACAACTGTATTGGGCAGAAGACAAAATCCTGTTCCATGCCAGGAGAAGAAAATACTCGACGACGCATAGGGAAGAAGGAGAGCAGGGACATAGAAGAACTGTTTAGCCTGAACTAAGCAGTCAGAAAAGCCAACAAAACAGACGATATAAGACACAGAATTAGCAGTGACTTCTCCGATATCAGCTTTTTCCCCCAGAGTGGTACAACTCACTGGAACTAAATGACACCAGCTACTTCATTAGGGTTAAGTCACCAGCCAGGGTTTCAAAAAGCCTCCCAAAATCTCCTGTGCCTCAAGAGAAGAACCAGAAAACAAGGTTAAGGCTTTTCTCAGTTCTGGCTCTAGAGACACAGCCGAGCCGTCCCCAATGCCCCAACAACGGCACAGAGCTGCGGGCAGAGGCTGCAGCGGGGGACGCCGCACTCAGCCTTGCCGCGGCTCTCAGCTGCCCGGAGAGCAGCACTCCCTCGGGCTGGGCTCTGTGCCAGGGAGCACCAACCTTTTCCACCCCTGGCTCTGGGGCAAGCTGCTTCCAGACGGAAAAGGAGAGTTCCACTCATACTGGCCAGTCGTAACTGCAGTTGGCCTTAAGAGAACAGAGCACAGCAGCTGCCAATACAAGAGACAATTGTCCTGTTACCAAAACACTATTTTAAAGTCGTCTGTGATTCTCTCCTTCACCCACTGCCACCATCAACACTCTGCTCTCTTTTTTTACCCCATTCACAAGGTATTTTTTTGTACTAGGACACAGACTTACATTCTCACTTGCCAGCTACTCCTTCTTCTTACTCCCCCCTCTACAACTTCGGCCGAGTCCCTTCATCAAAGCCTTTTGCTTCTGTCCAAGTCCGCATATTCCAGCTCCTTCAACCTTTTTACCACCTCTCACTTCAAACCACTAGGCTTCCTACTACCACTTCTCCACTCACCTTCAGCCTCTTTCTTAGTCTCCTTTGCAGATACATCTCTGCCGTTACTTCCTACAAACTCACAACTCACCTTTGTTTTCGTAATCCTGTCCTTTAGTGCCTTCCTATGCTATAACTCCTGGTAAAAGGCTTCTTCTAGAGGGCAACAAGACCACAGCATTGTCCTTTAAGCTTGCATCTTGTAACGCTATTTCATCAATAACTGTTCCAAAAGCGCTGTCTGTTAGCGTTTTCTTTGGGGGCTGTTTTGCACTTTCTGTAAGGCAACGAGGAGCACTGGCAAGTAAACAACAAGTAAATGGTGCGCAAAGGTCACATATGCAATACTTTCTGGTTTTATTTACTTTTATAATTAGTGCTCAAAGTTATTCTGCCATCTCCCAGTAACTTCATGGTAGGCTTTATAATTTTACCTTCCTCTTAGGTTTACCTGTAGTTTAACATTCAAAGTATGGTTGTTGCACAGAATACCTCAACAGACTTGTATTAAAAATGCTCTTTAAAATTCCAAAGCTTTGAACTAAAGAAATATCTCACGAAGTTTTCATGGAAAGTTCATCTCGGTTGGTTCAATTCAGCTACAGTTAGATGCACCTTTTCAAATAATGGAAAAAAATGTAAAGGGGTCAGACCCAATCAATACAGTTGTTCAAACAGAATTTCAGGCACTCTGATGTGTGTATTTTTTGTGCTCTTTCTTTGTACTGCTTCACTATGAAGAAAGGTTGCTTTTGCTAGCAGAGCCATAAAAGTCTTAGCCTTTTGAATACAGCCAAATAACCAATGGGAATGTTTACTAGGTGTGGAAAATATAGCAATTTTTCATGTTTTTCTTGTGCATGGCTTTGTTCTTTTTATAACTACGCAATACACAGACACACATGTGGCACAAGCAATCACTTTAAAATACCCACAGACAGATATAAATCAGAGGGGTAACATCAGATCATGCCTTCTACATCTTCTAAGTTTTGACACGAAGTAAATCTGGTCTGTCCTTCATATAACATCCAGAAGTTAATTGCTAAGACACATGGGAAATACCTGGTTTTCCAGAGGGGAACAGACACTGATATGAAATAACACACGCATACATTTGAAGATCTGGAAATCAGACGAGTAAACGGTGCAGGTGGAAAAACAACAGCGCAAACAATACCAGAACACGTCAGGAGGGCTCTGCTTTCTCAACACACCAAGCCTTACCTCCAAACGCTACAGGGTACCTGAGATCATCTCGCTCGACCTTTAACAATTTTTTTGAAATAGCAGCACACAACTTTAGTAGTATCTTTCAGCAGCTTTTAGTTCCACGCATCACTTCCCAGAACAGAATCTTCTAACACAGTTGCTTCCTGAAAAACCTTTCTATCTAGGGTTTTCATCCAACTATTCCAAAGCCAGTCTGGATGCCTCTAACTAATGCTATTGTCCAGTCCTTTAAAATAAAAAAGCTTTATATAGATATAGAAAGACAAGCAAAAGCTCTATAGCTCAACAGGATTTCCGAACAGCCCAGTGCTACCTACCAACTCAATACAACAGCAGGGGAAAAAAAAGGGGGCAAGTTCAAAAAGGTGAACGCAGTGCTACCTTGGGAGTATCAGGCTGTGGTTTTCTAAATTCATCTGCGCAACAAAATTTTAATAACTTTAGTGGAAGTGAAAACAAGTATAAGGGAAGAGAAGTCAGTTTGCATATTTTTTTGCTTAGTATAACATTACAAGACACTAATTAGAAAACGGTGCCTTCAAAAGAAAAACTGATACTGCTTTCTAATGAGTTTCTGTTTCTTTAATTATAATTGGTCCCAAACACTTAAGTTGCTTAATAGGCAGAAAAAAAAAAATAGCCACTTTCTGACCAAAATGATATTGGTCTGCAAGTCGACATAATTTTTTTCAAGTCTTAATATTAGAGACAAGTGTCTAACACCTAAATCCCATCATTTTTATTAAAAGAAACAGAACTGAAAAAGGAAATTGACCCAAAACAAACACTATACACATATGAAAATTAGCCCTAATTATTTAAAACTACACCCACTCATGCAAAAAAGACAGTCACTGGAGAACAGCATTTCACATATTTAATAAAAAGTTTTAGAAGAAAAATTATCTTGGTAATTTTTTCCCAAATACAGAATGAACTCTGGATGCAGATCAAAATCTTCAGAAAGACTAGTTTTGTTAAAAACATTACTGGTGTAACTATTTAGGGCAACATCCTTCTCTCTCATGCAGGCTTGAATGAGCAGATTTTGTGCGTGTGATCAAAGGGAAGGACACGAACGTCTCCCACAGCCTGCAGAGCAAAAGCACCTGCACCCCTTTCCCTTGGGGCAGCAGAGGGAATCAGGCATCAGTGGCCAGGGCAGGGCAGAGCCCAGGGGCTGTCTGCTCTCCTCAGCACCCACCCCTTACGGCCACCGACGCAGAAAGCTGCTGGGGAGAGCAGGCAGCTTCACCGAACCACGAAACGTGTGGTCAAAGTCTCCTTTTTGTGTCCCAGAGGGGGCCAGCATCTCATCCCCAGCTCAGCTCTGAACTTCTGCTGCGCGCATCTGAAGGTCAAGTACTCGCATTCTCGAGTATTCTCTCAAGTTCGCAGAGTCAACACTAAGCCACAGAAAGACTTCTAACTGCTACTTTACATTTTGTTCTAGAGATTACGTTTCAGAAGAATTAAACGTTTCCACTGGTCTCCATCAAACCGATGTCATTTGAGGCAGGTGTTACAGTGTAAATCCCTGCTGGTTAGCTGCGGCCAAAATCTGCTTGGCCAATACCCTATGCACATACACCGCACGTGTTCCTATCCGATGCCGCCAGCTTTTTTGTTTGTTTTTAAATTGCAGTTACTTTTGATTCTTTCTTTCACCAGAAACTAATGTCTCGGACACACACATGTACCTACGAGATAGAAAGGACAGTATTGTAGTCCTGTTTAGGGGACAACCCTGAAAAATCTTTCTATTCAAGAATAAAGACAAATTTAATCAAATGCTAAGAAACATTTTAAAAAAAAAATAAAAAAAAAATGAAGCTTTGGTGTAGGGGGGGAACCTGATCCAAATCCCAGTGAAATAAGTGCAAAATTGGGGAACTTTAATGGGATTTGAACCAAAGAAGAGCAAAATGTGGTAACACCACAAATGTGATTTTCAACCATACGGACGCTGATAAGAGCAGACAAGACAGAGGCAATAGGAGGCAGTTATGTTAATATTTTAATCTGTACATATACCATTTTCCAAACTGTTACATTTTATTTAAATTAATGTTTTCTCGCAAAATATTCATTTATGCTTTCAAAATTTTTTATAAAGGCAAAAATAAATCATTATTTTGGCAAAAGGTTTTGAAGTTGATACTGGCAGTATTGAGGTAAAATAGATTGCATTAGCTAAATACATACTTTCAAGAATATTTCTGAGTATAGCATTAATATAATATGATTTTTCTTAAAGTCTGAAACTTGAAGGTCAATTCCAAGGGTTTGGTAGCTATTACGTGAATACAGCAAATGAACAAGTCAGTGGTTTCAAAAATACTGCAGAAGTATTTCTCATCCAGAGCTAAACTCAACTAACAATTACATACTGGGACTTTTTTGCATGTCTTGCATTCAATGTGTACACGGTTTTTTTTCAAGTAAAGTAGTTGCAGCAACTCATTTAATCTTATTTTCTCTTTATGTCACCACCTCACCCTTTGCCCTATACATAAGTAAAACACTGAATTTCAGAGTTTGGCAGACTTAAGCACCAGATGAACATACATACAAAATTAGCAGGTGCCACATTACATTAGTTTTGCTGTTTCCAGGATAAATATTAGTCAATACATCATATTGTAATGTTTACTGAAAAAAATAAAAATACAAATACATATTTACTAGTAAAATGACTTTTTTTTTTTTATTGCTTAGTTCACATATTTTAATTACAAGTTTTCTTCTTCCACATCTCAGCTTTCAAAAAAATATAATTTGTTAGCTGTTTGTTACTGAGGGGACAGCACTACTGTCAAGAGCAACCTAGCATACTATTTATTGATACCAGCAAGTTAATCGTATGCGATCAAAAAAGGAAATGAGAGTTAAAACTGGCTTTCATTATGGCTTTCGTGGAAAACTTCGGCTACACAGTGGTTACTGATATTTAGAAAGTCAAGCTAAATGTTTTATTTATTTTATTATTGCAATGTATTATTTAATGGGCAAAAGGGCAGGCCACTTAACTCTACAAACATATTCAATCCAAAACACCTTCTTGACAAACCTCTCACTTGCATTACCTCTAGCCATATCCTATGAACATGCTTCTAGGTTTGTTCAAATTTACATTTTTTTTCATGAAACATTACATTGTGCATCTGAGCCTGAGGGGGAAGTAACAGCATCTTTTAACATCTACACAAGTAGCTTTTCTTAAAACGAATTCAGCCCTTGATTTAAAAAAATTCTAAAATACATTATCCTAAAAATACATTGTCAGTATTTTACAGAGTTTATTAAAAGTGCCATTTATTCATACAAAAAGTCTGAACTAAAATGAAGTCAAAATAAAATTATTTGCAATTCTCTTAGTTTTCATAGAAAATCCCCCTATTATTCTCTGAATGTATTTCCAGATGAACATGTCATCAACCGGTGAGCATCTTCACAGAAAGCTGGTAATGAACCTCCTCTTTCTTCCACGCGGCGTCACTAGGTGGGATTTGCTGTGAGTCTTACATCAGTGTTCACTTACTGCTTTGGCTAGCATGAAGTAAAATAAAACATGGTTAAATATTAAAGTGAGTACACTAACGCCAAGCAGTAAGCACTTTCAGGAAACTTTTTTAAATCAAAGCCTTCTGCAGTTTGACAGAATGAACAATCCAGATGGACACATTACGTGAACTATTATGATGCCACTGATGCTCAAACTCCTGTGTCCCGTGCATGTTGCTGGTTATTGCAATCATTTTCTTGATAATTTTCCTGAAGAAAATTTAGGGGGTTTTATATATATATATATGTAAATATATATATATACACATACACACATATGTATGTATATTTACACAGACATGTGATACACATGTTTTTAAGTGAGTCTGGAATCACAGAATGGTTGGGGTACAAAGGGACCTCCGAAGGTCGTCTGGTCCAAACCCCCTGCTCAAGTCTAATACCCTGGGACTGTACGGTTATTTTTCTGGGTTCTTGAGGCCACACATGGGTACACTGTTCGCATGCAAAGATCTCACATGATAGTGATAATCAGCTAGCATATCTCTGGATATAATAGTAGAGACAAGTGTTATTCAGACCCAGCAAAGATGGTAGAACCTTGTTCTCAGAAAGATAAACTGAACCAGAAAAGCAAATAGCTATTTCCATCAAGCTCTGTAGAGGCTCCTAATGTCTACACACCTCTCTCAATGTAAGTTTGTCATTTTTCACAGGCCTTGTTGAAAGCAGGTCACTGCCCATTTGGGCCCTTCTGCTGTGTGCGCTCATATTTATTTAGATTTTTTTTTTTGCACAGATATTTGACTCAGATTAGTGACAATGAAAACAAAGGCACCTAAAGATTAATGCTATTTGAGGTATGCACTCAATCAACCCTCTTCACTACTTCATACATGTTTTATCTTTTTGTCCAACATCAGGCAATAAAATTAGGCGAAAGGAAATCAGAAAGGTGAGAATAATTTCAAAGGAAAATACGGAAGCATGGGGAGCGTCTTAACTAGCGGCACACTCAGTTAAGTATCATAATATTTACAAGTTTTCCTATTTCAAATAGAGAAAACTCTGAAAATTCTACTGGGAAGAGGTGATACAGGTTTCTGTATAAGGACAATGAAATCATCATAACTTTAACACTTGAAATGGCAAAATAACCTAATCACAGACAAAAATCAAGTCTTCTGTTAACACAATTCAATGAAAAACAAAGGCATGAAAGAGTCAAACACAACATTGTCGAATTAGTTATAAAGGGCCAAATTTTCAGCTCACCTCAATTAAGATTCTAATGTTTGTTCATGCGTAAGATACCAGCCCACAAAAGAACTCCCTGCTTGTGCAACTTTGTTTGCACTTTGGATTCTCTTGTGCAGCAACTGTTTAGGCCACACGCCAGCAAAAATACCTACACACCCCTGTGGTAGCCACAGGAGTACACAACACTAGCCACTGGAGCACAAACTGCTGCTGAAAATCTGGCCCCATGCTACCGAGAGCACAGACGTCTCTCTCCTTCACCACAGTAAGACTATGGAAGCATCTTATCTGTAGAGCGACAGCAGTTACTTGAAGACTTTATTATCCCACATGTTAGCTCATTAGAAGCATTATTTACAAGAATAAAAGGTTTCTGAAAAATAGATGCATGCGGTCATTTGGATCTAATTTAGGTTTAGTAAAAAAGTTAAAATTCAGCAAGCCACAGCAAAGATACAATGGCAAATCAGACATGCCGAGAGCAGTTAGTTCTTACTTTCAAGGTGTTTAAACAAATGTGTAGTGAAATCCATTGCTTAAGGGGGAGTGAGGTGGCTGTGGTACAGAAGGTGAGGGTGCTTTAGATGGATAGGTCAACTGCTGAGCTAGAAGGGATCACATACAGGAATTAGGCTGCACAATCAAACATTCATATTACAACAGAGCCACCTTAATTTTCTACCATATGAATAAGAAACCTGATTAGTAATGCAATGAGGTGTTACTCTATTTTAGTTACATGGAACACAATGTAAACATTTCTACCTGCTGGATTTTTCTGTTAGTTCTATAAATTATGCAAATAAACATTCCTGTTTTGATGAGAATATGGACAATCGATCTTAAGATGAAGTTTCACTAGAACATTTTAAGGTAGACAACACTGATATTTCCTAATCAAGTCCTGCTTATTAAAAGTGCAGTTCTGGAATAGCACCTGCATCTGCTAATTTGATTTCAAGATTTCACTGAGTTGTAGAGGTTTTCAGCATTTCCTTTGTTATACGCCAATCAGCAGAAACAAAGATAACATATAGAAAAATCACACACACACCACCCCCCCAATTTACAAATACATATAACATTTTGCTTAGGATAGTGCATGACAGTAAATACATTTTCAGATCTCAGTTTGAAACTTCAGGATAAAGAATACAATGATTAAAACTATCCTTGTTTATAAAACAGAGTAATGATATAGTATTAAAAGACAATAATCATAAAACTAAAGAGATTGAAACTCAGTCTCAAATTCTGCTTTTATGTTTTGGAGGGCCAAAGCAGACCTAATTCCAAAACACACAATTTAGGAAATGACTTCTTGATACTCCTGCATTTGATTTTAATCTTTCCGGTTCTTGGCATGATTTCCATTTAGAAGGCTGATATCTTACTTGGAACAGCGGGACTCTAAAATACTGCTTTACAAGGATTAGATCAATGTACAATTTACTTTTATAAGAGATTTATATTATCGTAGTATCTTAACATAACTTAACTGCTTCCCCCTGAAAAATGGGAAAAGTTAAGCTTCACAGTCTTTTTCATAAGCAAATCTTTGTAAAAAAGCCCTACATATTTAGTTTTGGATTTTCAGATATGGTCTGATCCGTAAACAAGGAGCAAATGACAACCCATACTTTAAAAATCAAACTACAAAAATAAGAATGTGAAGCAATCTGTAAAATTAGAATAAACTAGAATGTACAATCAGCTGTGCAAAGCATCAAATGCTTTTCTTTTTAATCACTTTAGATCATCAGAAAATAGGCTGTAACTAAAAAACCTAAACTCTTTTTATGGTTTGTATATTTTCTATCAAAACCAAACCACTCTGGCTTTTTTTAGGATTCCTTAAAAGGTGTTTGTTTTTAATGGAGTAAGTAATAATTGAAATCAAAGCAAGATAAGTTACAAGAAGTGAGTATGTGAGATACTTTGAGATACAAACATGGCAAGGAAAACTCTGCATGGACAGAAAGGTTTGGGCTTCCTTAAAGAATCAAGTCCTTGGCGGCTATGTTAGGTTTTTTTAAGTGTCAAAGACAAAAAAGACCTAGCTGCTATGCTTCATAAAGAAAATTAAATTAAAAATAATCTCACAACTGACTGCAAATTTTTTTCAAGCAGCGTTTAAACAATTCAGTGCTGATACACATTTTAATTCTCTCTTGCGGAGAACAAAAGAATTAAGAAGATTTCTGTGCTTATGTATACCTAAGAAAATGTGGTGATTACCCTTTTGAAATAATTACAATAAAAAAATTAAAATATAAACTAAAAAACTGTAGTAATGAAAACATAGCTACTACATTCACTATACAACATAAAAAGATCAAATATATTTCAGTTCTATACAGTTACTGCAACTTCATGCACACCCAGAAGTAAGTTAACTGGGCAGATGAAGACTGTTTAGTATGGCAGGCACTCCGCCCTTCTTGCACCGACACAGAGGAATAATTTCAAGTACGGGCTGCGTTCATCTTGGTTGACTTTAGCTTCGGCATTACCCTTTCCCCAGAAGAAGCTAGAACTCCTGGAGCAAAATGCTGCACTGGTTCATATCTCCTGAAACACAAAGTCCCACTCAATAACCAAAGTGTGCGAGTCCCTGTTACAAGGACCTGGTTACTAGAACTGGGACCAGACTGCTTGCAGAGAAGCCGTTTTGACACACAGATGCCTGAAGGTCCAAAAGATTATTCCTGAAATGTTCCCAAGATTTTACAATTCTGGGGGGTTTTTTGTTTATTTTGGTTTGATAACGTCTAGCCTCCTCAGTGAATCATTTTATCCCTTCCAGTCAGTTAAATTACCCTCAGAACCTCTCCAAAGTCTCAAGATTCTTATCTTGAAAATGTATTCCATCCCTTCGAAACCACATTCCCCTCAGGTTTAGCTGCCACTGCATCCATGAGTATACAGCCACATTCCATCAACGGTCTGTTACTACAGATGCATGTTACGCATCTGGATATTGGAATAATCTGTCTTTAATGGGAAGGTCTTAAGGGCTTCTGTGGGAAGTGCCGTAATTTTAAACTGGCAACTTCAGATGAGAAATGTGTGTATTTTATCTCCATCACAGTTGAAGTTTCCATTCTCCACTGAAACAGTGAACTGTGCCAGTTATAAATGGCCAGTCAGATACTTGCTAGAATAACTGCTGCATGTATTACTGTGTGATACAAATCTCTTGACATTTCTTACTTATTTCAACTATAAAGCAATCAAGAGTGAAGTTATTACTTTGAGTAACCTACTGCAAAGGATCTATTAATTTCCAGGCATAAAGTAGAATTCATGCGCGGCTCTCTTGCTCTGACCTCTAATCTTGGTCAGCAGACAGAAACATGCCAATACCCATTTTACAACGTCTTTTTCAGCCTGTTGTCCCACAGCTCAAGCTGCAAATGATCACACCCTAATCTCAATCACCAGACCAGGGAATCTTTCTGTTAAAAAAAAATTAAAAATCCCTTTGTCTTGATTTAAGTTATGGATCAATCTACTTTTAAAAAATGAATATAGAAATACCTCATTTAATGTAATTACAAGGAATTAATTGAAAATATTGATTTTTTTCGTACTATTAGTAAGAGCAAGTTTCCAAGCTCTGAACTTACTGATCATACTATTTTGTCCCCTTCACCCTGTCCATTGGAGGCCATATACTCAATGTAAATCTTTAGTCTCTCTCAATTTCTTATCTATACACACTTTTCACTATTTTGAATATGAATGACTAAAACTCTCTCTTATGCCAGGAGTTCAGCAACAACCCCACACAACTTTGGAAACTGGTAAGAAATAGCTGTTATTTTGTAAATAACTATTACCTGCTACCTCCTTGCTCCTCTGAGAGGCTTCAGAAGCCAAAGCGTATGATATGGTAATGATGCGCTCCTGCTCTTGCAGCTGTGAATCTAAATCAACTGAGTTGTGCTTGTCCTGGGCAATAGTAGGCTGTAGATTGTGCATACTAGTGGGAAAGAGCAAAACAACATTAACATTTACAAACATAAAGAAGAATCCACCGTGCAGATGATGAGAACAAGCTCAAATTCATACAGTAGTTTTCAGATCTGGTCTATCAAGCTCCATACTTTATTGAAGTTCTTTAAAGCAGTGTTAGGTGCTGTATGTAAATGACTACAGCATAGAAAGACAAATGATGTAGCCATTACACATTCAGTCACAATTTCTGTGTAGCATTAAGTACATCTGAAAGTCCTTTGTGTAAATATGCTGTTTACATAAAAGCACTACCAAAAATGTTGTTTATTTGAAGTTGTTAGTAAAATTTCTTGTTAGTGCTCAGAGGAAAACGTATAACCTGGTGGTCCTCAGGCATAGCCTCGTTAATCATATTCCAAAGAGACAGTAGATACTTGAGATAATCAAATTCTTGAAACCGAAGGTTTCAGCTGACTGTACATTAGCTGTAAGTAGCTAAAAGTGTTCCTTCAGAACTCCAGCTCCCTGGAGACAACAGAAACTTGCTCTCACACCTTCTCTTCTGCTTTTGGCCAGACCTGTGCCTTTCCTTTCTCTTCACTCTCATCTACAAGTTGCTTGGTAAGGACTCACTACTATTTTAGGATGTTCTGAACAAGAGAATGGACATACACAAAATTCGTCATTATCTCTTCTACCCTGTTTTAAAAAGGAGCTTTAAGTGTACCACATAAATTCTGTGTGCATTTTCTAAAAGCCACAAGTTACACTTTGATAATTCAATAGGAATTAGACTATTGTATGAAGTTAGTTCCCAATGTTTAACACCCAGCCCGTATATAAGATCTTAAAAAAACTAACCAAAACAAAACCTGACCTTGATTTAGTAAGAATATTCTTTATCTTTTCTGCTTTACGCTGCCTTGCTGCCAGTTCTTCTGTAGAAAGAGGCTCTTCTGGCTCCAGTTCAACATAGCGTTCTGGAATTGCAACCTTCTCAGGTTTTGACAACTGTGGGAAAAAAGTTTTTAATAACAAAGACTGAAAAAAAATTGAGATAACTCTCCTCAATGGGAGAACACAGTGACAAGAATAAAGCATGGATTTTCACAGTCAATACATGTACCTGATGCTAAACACTCCCTCTGGATATGAGCTGATGCCCTTTTAACAGTCTCTTTTCCCTCTGATTCATTTTACTTTAAAAGATAGGTCGAAAAAAATATTAAAGGGGATTACAAAAGAAATCAGAATCAATGGGGAACCTTTCTTCAGCTCAGCCTTAGAGCCCAAAGTAGGATACTGCCTAAAGCTGTTACAGTAGAAAGAAGCAACCACTACAAGATCGACCGGACAACCTGAGATTTTAATGTCATGATACGTACGTCATGCCAGCGAAGACTTCCTACAACTGAAAGGAAATATCATCTAAAGTTTTAATCTAGGGTATCATTCTTTTGAGACTGAATAATCTTCTTCATGAACAGTGGAGAAAAAAAAAAAAAAGAAAAAAAAGAAAAACAGCAGTTTGTACTCATCTTGGGAAATTCTTGGACTCTAAAATCTGAAATCCTAGGTGTTCAAAAGTTGTCTAGGGAACTGATTCAGAAATACACTAACATTGTGCAATTGTAACAACATGTTGTGTACACATAATTCTGTAGATTGAACATTTTAATATGAATGCACAAAAGCTAGCAACAAGTTTTTGTTAGGATCAGTTTCTTTGTGGGAAATCTTTGCTCCACATAAGAGATCTAAATTACCCATTGAAAACTCAGTTTACAAATGGACTTTTAAAACCAATGTTTATTATACAGAACAGACTGCTTTTGAAAATAAGTAAAAGGGGAACTACTTGTTGTTCTCCTCTTTGGATTTTTGTTAAAACGCTCATGAGGTGATGGTTTTTCAAAATTCAAAGTGTTAAATAAAAATAAACCTAAATTTTTCACCACTGAACTTAGCCCACACTAATCCAATGACGTAAAGTAGCCTGACCTAACCCCCAGTGATTGCCTGTAAATTACTAAGCCTAATCATAGGCCCAAAGAATACAATACAGTCATTGGCACTCATAACTACATTAAAATCATAACCTCAAATTTTCATACTTCCTCCTCAGTAAATCCAAGGCCAAAGCTTCCTGAAAAATCCTCATTTTCCACTACACTTCCTTACTTTCAAATCCAACTCCTCTCGATGTCTGTAGCTATACATGTATATATATTTTATTATATATACATATATATATTTTACACATCTATATTTTATTATATGTGTCCTTTTTTTATATATATATACACACTTTTATTTAAATACCTTATATCCATACTATGACTAGCCTAGATCAGATCATCCTGCCACTTCCAGAATACAAACTCAGTTATCATGTGAACAGCAGATTCACTGGCCTTAAAGACACAACTGTGGTCATCTCCCTGTGAGGCACAGAAGAGCCTCAGGTACAGGAGTGCCTGTCAGGTGAAGAGGCTGGGTACATGAAATGGAAAAGGACAACCTGGGTAACCTGAGAAAGAAGATTTACATTCAGAGATTCAGACCTGTTTCAGTTACTCTGAAGTAGGACAGAAATGCCTATAAGCAAAAATGTTCCCTAGGCTTAAGGCGCTAATTTGGCTGTACGAAGTGATTCACGAAGTGATTCACGTAGCCCTGGAGGCCTTCTGGGAAAAATTTTAATAGCAGAGTGCAAAAAGGAAAGGCAATACAACAGAAGAATTTTTTCTGTTTCTGATGTTTACAGGCATACTGCATTTTCTGTAGAAAATATACAAGAATAATTAAAAGATACGTTCATTCATAGAGATCAACAGATAAAGGCTCACAGATTCAACCTCTTACAAATCTCTCTCTCTATAAAATGATACATTGCCAACAGCTTTCAGAACAGTAGAGGTGCTCACTAGTCTAATTATCATTAATAATTTTACGGATTTTCCACCTACCATGGCATTTTAGGCCACGCATGGTACCTCCTGACATCTTCCCACTTGCTATATTCTTCCTTTTCCACCAGATGGCTCAATCGCACCTCTAACAAATACTCTGCTCGTTACTAGAGCTGGAAAAAGATCCTAGTGCCCAGAACACCAACCAAGTCGTTTGAAAAGTTGACAGAAAGGTGTTTTCTGGTCTGCCCAGGATAAAGCAGTGCTTCCTCTTCTCCACCGTGTTTTGCCAGTCAAAATGAAAAGTAAGGTAGCTCTGGGGAACTAACTTTTACTTCATTGCTGTTTCTTATTTTCAAATACTCTCCATCTTGTCTTCTCATCTTTTTTTCCAATTTATGTAACATTGCCTAACTTAATAACTTTTTCCTCTATAAAGCCTGAGATGTGTATTTTAAACAGTAGAGCCAACCTTTTAATTTCTTCTCTCCAGTAAAACACAATATGAACACGAACCTTACAGAGATTCTAAGTGCCAGCCTGTAAATTTTCAATACCCAAAAGTAGTTTCAGTTCAAACTTCCAGCTAACTTTTGAAAGAAAAGATGAGAATTCACTACCTAAAAACCTTAGAAATGTTAATATTCTGGGGCATAAAATAGGAGGCAAAAAATTATTAGTGTTACCTCTCTGCTGATATCTAAATCATAGTCTTGAGGCTCCAGGTCTGTCTCTGTCACTGCTACTGGCTGAACTTTTAACCATTCATTTTCATCCTTGTCTTCTCCACGAATTGCCCTCTCAAGTAACTGCAAATCAAATTCTTGCTCTCGTTTCCACTGGTAATAGATACAAAACAATTAACAGCATTCAACCATACTGCCAAATTCAACATTTAGCACACATTACTACTGCTGCAAATGTTATATTGCTGAAAGAATCCACAGAGCAAACCCCTTAACTGACAAAAACAAGAAAATGCAACTGTATTTCTTGGAACACACGGCTGGGAGATTTGATCTCTAGCTGTGCTGCATGGATTTTAGAGTATTGTTTAGTTTTACAGGTAACATTCAGCAGTATTAAATCCTTACAAATGTATTAATTACAATTTCACATATGCTGATTAACATGGAACTAGCTGCACACAAACATCTTTGGAAGCACAGGTGTCAATACAAGCGAGTCCACTGACTGACAGACTAGTCCTAGGCATTCTAACCAGGCAGTGCTGGCTGATTTTGAATCACTACACAGAAAGGGTATTTATATTGCAGGGTGAGAATCGCAACTTGAAAATTTTATGTATCTTTCTAAAATAATACCTAGTGATTAAAGCTGACGATACTTTACACACTAGCATTAACTTGTCTTGAACTCAAAAATTTAGTAACTTCTAAGCTCTTATGTTTTTACTAAAGGATCTAGCTACCTGCAAGGATAAAAAACCTTTCACATCCTCTCTTTACAAGGTAAACATTTAGCAAAATTCAGAATGTATTTAAATTAAGTGGCATAATTTTAGAGATCCCAAATAATTGCACAGTAGCTTCTTCACAGCTACATAGAATACAGCTGCGTATAAATTCACGCTTAAGAATACTACCAACACTTTTTAGTTCAAAAAAAGTTCAGTTGCAACATCAATCCATCCAGCAGATCTCAGCAACTTTACCACTAAAACACAATATTAAAAGCAGTGGGAAAGAGAAGGGACAAAAAGAACAACAACAACAAAATATCTCCTCAAGCATTTGAGGGCATCAATAGGAGAACGTGCCATTATATGTTTCTTAAAAGCATCTCCAGTATTTCTGTTACAAATCTTTGGCTTGTTTTGGTTGAAGTTTAAATTTTATATAAAGTCTTTAGACTTGATTATGTTACTTGCATTAACAAAACTAATTGAAACCTATTCATGCACAAGCTCTCAATATTCACTCAGAAGATATGTATCTTCCATGTATATTAAAAAAGTTAAATAGCTAAAAGGCAATTATATCTCAAAAATTAAGATGTTTCTTCACAGAATTCAAAAGAGAAAAAAAAGTTTTCTCATACAAGTACTCCAAACTCATTCTTCTACTCATATTCGAACCAGGCCTGATTGACATAGTATATTTTAAATATACAGTATCATTTTCAAGTTACTCTATATAGGTAAGAAAAACATCAAACCATTATTACGAAGCAGTATTTTTATTGGCTTTGATGTTGCGACTTTTACATTAAAAAGGCATTATATATAACAAATGAATTCATGTACCGTGATCAATACTTAAAATGTCAAACTACACTTGAGAGCTGACCAATTAAAAATTAGAGTTACACATACAATGTATGTTTAAAGCAAATGTTACATACTGAGCAGCACTTCAATTATACATTTAACTGTTTGCCATTTTGGCTGCTAAATAATTGTAATGCTGTAAGTAATTGTGCTATCAAACATGCTTTTTGTGTATTGAAGCCCTATAGGTACAAGAGATGATCTCTACAAAACATTGTTAGGGCTGAAAGATTCTATTTTAATTCTTTACAGCAAGAAAAAGACCGAGATGGCACCCAAATTTATAGATAAAGTGTTTGCCACTAATGTTAATAAGGAGTGTTACGAAAATGTTTAAATTCAACTTGTGTATGTTACGTGAGCCAGGAAACATAAGAAGCTCAGATTTAGTTCCTCTAATTAAAATATGAAAATAACGGTGATACTATAGTTCTACAGTTCCCAAATATTATGCACTATCTTTAACAAATTTGTGATTGCAAAACAGAAGATAAAATAGATTAATGTCTCCAAGTAGTGCACTCGTATTTACTGGGAAAGTAAATACAAATAACGGCCTGTAAATTAGTGCTACTGAACAGTGGGAATGAAAGGCTGAATAGTATAAGTTTTTTTTAATGCTAGCAATTGACACACATGTGCAATTGCACACAAATGCAATTAAGCCTGGTAAAAATTGAGTAGTCCAGTTAGAAATTTTAAAATAACTACAAAATTCTGCAAATTAAAAACAAGCAAACAAAAAAAAGAGGCATTAGGTATGATGAGTGACAAATCTAGAAGCAAGAGATCTTGTGCAATGAATTAGGTAAAACAAGGTGATAATTCTAAAGCTCTAGTGGGCCAAATAAAAAATAAATTAAAAGACCACAGCGTAAGTGCAATTACAGTACAATCTTGGTTTAGCACCAAGTGAATGACTGGGTAATTTCAACAATTAGAATTGCTTTGGTTAGTATCCAAAATGTATTGTTACAAACTTATCATCTGTACAGCATTTAATCTCAGAACGCAACAAAAATCCTTTTCTTCAGCAGCTTAAATCTGAGCCTTATTAGAATATTCTACATTTTGAGCTTTAAAGAAGAATTTGTATCAATTAAAACACATTAGCTCTTACATAAATTTCTAATCACCATGATTAGATTTTAAAACTGATTATCCATTTATCAACTCTAAAACAAACAAACATCACCTTGGCCTGATATTACCACGACTATCTTGCAGCCTAATTTATGAATTAAAAACAAAAATACCCATGGTGAGTAAGAACATTCTAAAAGGCCCATTCCATTATGAAGCAGTTTTAAAACTGTACAAGCTTCTTACACTTTCTAAATACAATTCCAGTAAAAAACAATCATGTGTCTGAAATCACTCCAATGTACTCACATCTCCTCTCAGCACACTAAACTCTGACCAACTTACAAAACCTGCTACATATACTGTAATTACTAGTAAAAGATCATTTGTTACTCACACTCTCTGAACTAATTTTATACTGTCTAACACTACACTTTAATTAGACTAGAAGCATCACACACACTCAAGTGAAAGTGCTTGCTAGGAAAAAAAAAATCCAAAGGTATCTTTAGTTTAGTCCTTTTAAGGCATATCTAACATACTGAGCCTATGTCTGCAGAAATGGGCCTGATGAAAGACCGAGATGAAACAGACTGCCTTTCTCCTTGGCTAAGAGTTCTCTTGCGTTCACGAACTAATGCCTTCTGATGTCGCTTCATTCTTTCTAGTTGTTCCTCTGCACTCATCTTGCCTCTTTGGTGGTCTCCAGAGTATAAACGTTCCAAGGCACTCTTTGGTCTCTCCTGTAGAAGTCACAAGGCACACAAAACACATGTTGTAATTAATACTTTATAAGAAGCAGACGAGAAACTAACTCTTTCTCCTACCTTATTACTAAATTAACATTATTTCATTCTATTATTTTTGCATTAATTTGCATATTTCAACTCTGTATTTTCTATTAATACTGCCGATTTTTCATTCTAAACGTTGTTTTATAAATCTATTTCAAATGCAGTAAGTTGTCTGTCTGCTTCCTGCTTCATTTCAGAAAGTGAACAACTGGAGATTTTATTAGATCACAGGTGTTGAGTCCTCTCCCATGCTACTACAATCCCACTTCCTGTTATGCAAAATATATTTGGGCTTAACTATTTTGAACAGTTCAGACATTTGCCTTCAGATGTTGACTTAGAACTTACCTTGGACCTATCCCTTCGAAGTGTTGCATATGATGAAATGGTAGATGATTGGTGCAATCTGGAAGATGATCCAGATAAACCTTGATAAGGAAAAAGAGAATGCTTTAAAACCAAATGACACAGAAAAGGTAGACAAAGTGTCAGATTTTATTTTTTTTAATTATTCATGCTTTTTCTATGACATTCTGGTTACTATTTTAGCTCCTGTTTCACCTTTTGTGGTTCAGAAGATCATGAGAGGCATGAAATTTCATTTCAGCTAACAGTAATGTGTTTCAGGTCACTATTGATCAAAATTCAGAAGTATCGAGTGAACTCATCTGTACAGCAGTAGATATGCTGTACAAATAATCACATCTATGAAGAAAATCAAACCTTAACATTCACAGTTAGAAAGGAAAGAAAGAAGAAAAGAACGGCTAAGAAATTAATTGCTCTTCCCCAAATATCCTTTTTATCCTCATTTATGAAACAGTTAGCACACTGGGAATGAGGTGTCAAGTCACATGTAGTGTCTGGGGGCATTATATTCTTATTCTTTATTGCTTTCATTTCAATGGCAATAAAAGTGTTTAAAAAATACCTAAATTTGTAAAAGATCACACAAATTAGGAGGAAAAATAACTCTGAATATAGAGACATTCTAACAGCTAACTTCATGTTTTACTATGCCTTTTTTTAAGCATTAATATATTAAGTTGTATTGCAAAAGGCTGGTTGTAACAGCACCATTAAAATGCACAAAAAATCTCCAGACTTTCACAGCATTGTATAGCTAATCTAAAAATAACGATCCGATGATAAAGACCATCTCCAGAAAATCCTAGGAGAGAAAAGCTCCTATACAGACAGTACTGATAAAAATCAACTACTTAAATTCCTGACTTACCACGAGTAGGTAATGTCTGGTATCCGCTATCAGAGCTTATTAAACCACTGGAAGGTTGGCTGAGGTCACCACCTATCATTGCTAGTTCTGGTTCACTCATGTATGAACGCAGTTCCACCTATTTGAAAAAATACTGATCAGCTCAAATGAAATCACAGAAAGCAAGTCTTAATAATCTTAAAAGAAATCCTAAAGCTTTCTTTCTGGATTACTAAATCTCTCTCTGCCATTATTACACAGCATAGATGTCTCCCTGCCATTACTCTCTCTCTGCCATTCTCTCTCCCTGCTTATGACAAGACCTACAGACAATATCGTTTGTTATAGGTTCCCGTATCTTTGAAGTGCAGGTGTGAAGGTGTATGGGTGCTCACCCTATAATCTCCATTAACATACTGTCCGAGTTCTCTGTCTCTCTTTCTTTCATCTGACTGACGTTTCAGGCCCCGCACTGATGTGTGTCTGATGACAGTGGCTTCTCTTGGGAGAGGTGGAACCGCTGGTGGCTGATCATCAGGGCTGTACAACTGAGGGAGCGGAGGTCTGGGCGGTGCTTCATCTTCCTGGGAACAGGAAAGCACAGGTATTTGGCAGCCTGGCATAAACTGACTGAAAGTTCATTTCATTATATGAGTTCATTTCTATATATATATTTTATATTTGTGACTGCTTTAGCATGCTCTCCTCTGTCCACACCAAAAAGACAACTTGAAAAACCAAAGACAGCGAACAATTAATCAATCACAAAGCATCACCAAGGAAGGTTCTGCATTACTATGTTCTAAACCAGTATATGGCTAGTGTACACAAAGCTCCAGGTTACACACATATATTCTCCTGTAAGTGCTATTGCTCAGTTTCAACACAAAGACCTTAAGTGTCTCCCTGTCATGCCTCCACACTGTGTGCCACACTTTGCAACCACGAAACTTTCACTGTTTCTGCCTGAAGTAAATGGAAACATAGGTGAATGAATTTCACAAGAGCAGTACTTACAACCTTTGGCTTGAGCTTAATTGGTGACTGAAGAGGCGGCTCGACTTTTTTCAGCTGTTGCACTTGGTGCTGTGTTCTGGCCTGGAAATAAGGCTGTGGATACAGCCTGACCTCCAGAGAGGATTTAACTGGGCTGGGTGGAGGGCTTTGTGGAACTGAAAGTTTGCTCTCCGTAGTTGCAAAGGAAGATGGTAAGGAAGGCACTGAAGACTGAGAAAATGAAGGCACTATTTTTCTCTCTAGGGGAGAAATATGCAAATGTGTTAGGTGTTGTTTCTTATCAATAATAAGAACAGCAATTAACATCCTTAGACTTCATAAAATAGCCCTAATACTCCACACATTGCTTTGAACACGAATGGGGGGTTTTTTGGACATAAAAATGTTTGATTGTTACATTATAGCAGGGGTGGAAAACATTTTCTTGATGAAGATCAAGCAAGCTTTTCAGGCCAAAAATAAAAACACACACTTTAATACCATCCAGTAAAATTCCTCGGAGAGAGCAGCAGGAGGGAAGGAAGGAAAAGCCCGAGAGTCATATGAAATCAGTTCATAGGCTGTATCTGGCCCCGTGCCACAGATTCCTTCAGATGCCTACAGATTTAGACAAGGCTAAGCACTCATAGCCATACCCTAAATAAAATAAGATCTCAGCATCTCAGAACTACTTTATCTCTGCATGTAAAAGGTAAGCAAAGATACTTTATATTTAAAGTGATTTTACAGTAGGCGTTAACAGTCTCTTGCTATCCCAATGCCTTAGGTCTTTTCTTTGAAACATAATAAAGCAATTGAAATGCAGACCACACACACTTTCCCTTCCTCTTTTCCATAGCTGATATTGTTGCTCTGCCCACCAAACGCCTGCCTGAAGAGAGAGGGGGAAGGCAAATGCAGCAAGGGCAGTTGGGCAGCATCCAAGGCGGGGGGAGCAGAGACCACCACAGAGAGGAGTTCCTGCACAGAATGCAGAATAGATACTAGACTGGCATGAGCCTGGCATGTCACAGAAACTCCTTCTGTAACTTGAAGAACTTGACCCATTATTATTAATGTTCCCTTTTTTATCGCTTGTTATGTTTTAGTGTCATCAGTATGTGAAAACAACAAAAAACCTTTTTGCCACCTCAACCAAAGAAACACCAAGTTAATGTGCTCAATCAACAGAGATTTTTGATGTAACCATTAGCAGAATTAACTGGATTTTCTGTAGTAGAACAAACTTCTAGACTATGTACACAGACCTAAAGACTCAGCTGCATTTGTATATTTTTTATGTTTTAATTATGTTCTCCTTACCTGGATTCTTGATAGAGTCTACTATGGTTTTGTAGTTTGTTTTATTTGCACTCAAGCCAGCTGTAACATCTTCAATTCTCCACAAGTCTTTTTGTATTTGTGTTTTCTCCTGTTGTTTGTAGTAAAATAAAAAAAGAAAAGCCAATTATATCTCATTTTTAATTTATTATAGGCTTATCCTTCCTTTGGTATCAAAACCAAACTAATGTTTCAGAACTTACATGAAAACTTAGGAGTCTAGAAAGGAGTTAAATAATTATTTTAAAATTAAAAAACAAACAAACAAAACAATACACACAAAAAAACAACCCACCAACACAAACCAACATATCTTGCCCATAAAATTTATTAGACCATTTTCTGAGTCTTGGAAGACTTCCTACAGAAGACCTGGGGAAAGAAACACCTCTACATTTTTCTCTACAATATTATTCAGGTTACAAAAACCTAGTTTAATGTTCTACATAAAATGAGCTTGCAGAACCTTTTCATTTGAACTTTGTTCTTCAATCCTATACTAACACACTTAAGACTGCTAAGGTAGCTCTACGAAACTCATCTTAATACATTTAGGGGAAATGTCTGATATTAAAAAGACAAAAATTTAGTATAGTCTCCCTGAATACTGCCATGAACTTCCCAATTGCTTTTAATGGATGAAATATAAAGCCAAAACTCGGAATTGCTGATAAATTTAATTTCTCCTTATATTTGGGTTGTTAGGCCTACTGGACATGATGTATCATAGGTTGAAATGCTATATTGCTGCTGTTCCAGGATTCGGTCTCATCTAGTATCATATTTGCTTTGCGGAGGCTTTCCAGGAGGAAAGAAAGGGAAGCTTTGTCAACAGTCTGGACTCCGCCTTTGATTGCATCTTGCAGCCAGAGGCCTTGGCTACTGAAGCCACAACTTGCGTCAGATGTTCATTGCAATCATCATAAATAGCTATTCTCATCTACTTAAGGCCCAGTAACTCTGCCTTCAAAAAATGGCATTAAGAATAAACTTAGTAAAACCAAGAGGAAAACAGTATTACTAAAGAAAGCAGAAGGCAGTGAAACACTTTAGTTAAGTTTGGCCAGCCATGCCCAGAGAGTGGTAGT